TGAGAAGGGAATCCTGAGGGACACATGGAGGGATTTGTATAGAGGGAAGTGGAATAGCCCAGTGCAGTGGTAAAGAAAGCATGTCTTCTTTTAGGTATAGGAAAGCTTTTATTTTGTTAATCAACCTTAAATGGTGAATGCTAGACTAGCCAAAAAAAAGGCATTAGGTTACATTTAAATGTTTTCATTTACACGATGAACACATTTTGACTTCCCTTACAGAGTTTATCTTCTTTTCAACCAGTTTACTGCTAGTTGCTTTAAGCAGGATATCAGTCTGAATGTAATCTGCAGTGAAATTACGGCAAAGAGAATTGGCGGGATTGTGTCAGTAATTAAATGAATGCTAAGACTGATAAGTTTTTATACATTTTTTCGTTCACCCAGACTTAAAGCTCATCTGGGGCTACAACAGATTCCTAGCATGTATTTTTTTTCCCCTCCAGATTTCATTGGGCCAAAAGGGGAAGCCATACATCTTCAGCTTGTACAGATGTGGATGACATGAAAGAATATTAGTGTGCCGCAGTCTGAAAATAGCTCCACTTACAGTTTAAGTCCATAAATCCATGGAGCCACTGAGAAGGGCATTAGAGTGGTGGTAGAGTTAGTATCTCTCTCTAATGATGGTATCCATTTATACAAACCCTTTTTTTTTTTTTACATGATTCATCTTGCTGGTAGGCTGAGTGTTATACATTTCTGCCAAGGGCTCAAATGTTGAATTATTTCAAAATCAATACATTTCTGACCTTGTGTTTTCTACAGTAAACCTTGAAACATCCCATGATAGTAATTATAGCCAACATTACTTTAAAAACGGATGGCTCCAGTAAACATCTATTATTAATTGGGCAAAGATTATTGAGCTTATAAGAAGAGGTGGGTAGAGTACCCAACGGTTTTATTCAAGTAAAAGTAGGAAGTAGTCATCCAAGAAATAACTCAGGTAAGAGTAAAGAAGTACTTGTTAAAACTGCTACTCGAGTACTGACTAACCGTTGGCTTGTAACATCTGATTTGATTGTAGGGGAGTGGTGGTGTAGTGATTAGGGCCTTGCGCTTGGGTCCCAGAGCTTCTGAGTTCAAGCCCCACTCCCATGAACTACCACTCTGGGTCCCTGAGCAAGACCCTTAACCCCACACCGCCCTCCCCGAATGCAGAGATGGAATTTAATTGCTTTGTACTTTTGAAAATAAAGTTAATTTTTATTCTTATTATTGATCTAACAGAGCACACTGAGAGAATTTCCTATATCTATCTCTAACAAAAATGTTGTTGCTAACGTCCATGCAGACCAATAGAGATGTGTCTTTACTCCTCACTCCAGAGGTAAGTGATCTATAAAACACAATTATAAAAAAATACAATTAATGAAATTCAATCTGAGAAAGATAGGCTAAATATAAAATATACAATTTGAAAATGTTAAATCTGTTAAAGCTAAAATATGAAAAAAAAGAAGAAAAGTCTACGAAAACAACAAAGTTACTTTTGTTTTCATTTTGTTTGTTGCCCTGGGTTCCTAAGCAGTTGCTTAGATTGCTTTTGCCTTGGGCCGGCCCTGTTAATATACTAATGGTTAAGTTGGAAAAGTCAAATGTGAGCCATGTAGATAAAAAAAAATCTAAGTCGGTCTAACTTTATTTCTGGGACAAAATTCAAAACATATTAGAGTGTCTGTGGAGAAAAACACATTTAAGAATTTATTTGACTTATTTTTAAATATTCAAACCATTAGGTCGACAGCAGACTGACCAATTTCCTCTATCTCCACTCCACTACCAGTTTCAGGCCTGGGGGGGAGCCCTATTCTTTGCTACTGTTCATGCATATCTATCAAAATTAAGCGCGATGTTTCCTGCCGAGGTCTGAGCGCCAAAGACAAAGTACGGTAATTGTATCAATAAATTTCTCCTAATTGTCTTTTCTCTTCATGTGAGTTTTGCAGATTGAAATATAGGATCTGAGAAAGCCCTGGACAGGTTTTCAGACACCCATGGTATTCAGGGGGTCTGTTAACAGAGATATCATTTGTGGTATGATAACACAATCCTGCAAAGACAGCATAAAACCTTAAGCTTACCTGTACAGAAAGGTTTTATCCTTCACAGAGCTGCTGGTTCTGAATCACAAGATTATCTTTCAGCAAAAGCCTTTATTAGTGTGGCATTTTTCTAATATTTGAAGGAGCACATTTATTAAAATGGTTATTTAGACCGACATGTACCAATAAAAATCTGTAATAAACATATAAATGAATGTAGTTTCCTGCAGAGAGGCTTTAAAATGAAACACTGACCTTTACCGATAACATTGGTTTAGAAGTAACATGACTTTTTCCTTACTTTTTGATAAAAGGAAATCCTGCAGTAATTCCTTTAAGTCAAAAGCTTTTACTTCGCAGTCACACAGAGTATGGTAACCAAAAACTTCCATAGACTAAAGGATATGGAGTTCAATTTAAAGTGCAGATGCTTTTCCTCCATTTTTACAAATTCCATTTAAAAAATAAGGGGGTGGAATCAATTAAATTTTCTTTAAAAATAAGAGAATAGTATTAGATACATTTGCGGAGATGAAGTTTATTTTCATGATTTGTTACAATATAGATAAATCAAAAAAGATCCAATTATAATCTCAATCACTGTTTTGGGCTCTCCACTGTTAAGCTGTGTGTGTTTCGCAGTTAACGCAGATATGACAAAGTTGTTAAAATTAAGCGAATATGAGCGAATTGTTAAAATTTTAATAATATATACAACTCTTTTGGGGTCATAATAGAGCATCAATAAAACAATAACTGTCATCTAGATTATTATGTCTTGCAGAAAAGCTTCCGGTGCTTTGATTGGTCCCATCTGTTATACACCAGAGAGAATTGAGCCTTACATCCNATTCCATTTAAAAAATAAGTGTTTGCAATCAATTCAATTTTCTTTAAAAATAAGAGAATAGTATTAGACACATTTGCGGAGATGAAATTTATTTTCATGATTTGTTACAATATAGATAAATAAAAAAAGATCCAATTATAATCTCAATCACTGTTTTGGGCTCTCCACTGTTAAGCTGTGTGTGTGTCGCAGTTAACGCAGATATGACCAAGTTGTTAAAATTGAGCGAATATGAGCGAATTGTTAAAATTTTAATAATATATACAACTCTTTTGGGGTCAAAATAGAGCATCAATAAAACAATAACTGTCATCTAGATTATTATGTCTTGCAGAAAAGCTTCCGGTGCTTTGATTGGTCCCATCTGTTATACACCAGAGAGAATTGAGCCTTACATCCCAGGTTAGTCTGGTAAGTCAGGAATTTTCGGGGGTAGCAACAGGCTTTTATCATACACTGCAAAAATGATCTAGAATACGGTAAGTAAAAATTTCTTAAATTAAGTGTATTTATCCTTATTTTGAGTAGGTAAATGAGATTGTGTGCCAATGGAATGAGTATTTTTACTCTTAAAATAAGATAATTAGATAATATGCACTTGAAATAAGACGATGCAATTGTGTTTTTTTTATTTTAAATATACATTTTCTTGTTCCATTGGCAAAATGTCTATTTTACCTCCTCAATTCAAGAACAAATGTACTTATTTTAAGAAAAAATGACTTATCTAGATTTCAATTTTTTCCAGTGTACCATTATATTCAAACTCAAACCACCTGTTTGTCGTCTATCTATCCATACAAAATGGCTAAAGATAGGACATTTATTTTTGAGTGACAAGACAGTTTCCTGAAAAACCTCCTGAAAGTGACATTTCTTATGTATCTTTGTCTCAAGAATGGGGAAAAAAGACAATATTGATTAAAAAGTGTGACTTTAAGATCTTTTTCAACTGTAGCTATGTACCAAACAACCTTCATTAACTCAAATCCCTACTATTTTTAATAGGGATAAGGGTGTTTTATACCCATATCATAGTTGGGGGTTCATTAAATAACATTGTCAGTGTTGTGGCCTTGTGTCTATTTAATTTCCTTCAAAATAAAAATGCATTTTTTCAACTTTAGACATTTAAGGAAATATTGCTTGAACACATTTAAAAAAGGAAAAGCTAAGAGAATTTTATGTTTTTTGTGTCTTGAATGTTTAAAGGGAACTTGATTGGTGATCTAGCACCACCTAGTGGCTAAAGCTAGACTAACAACTAAAAGCCTTGCTTGGTATAAAAGCAGTAAAGAACTGATATGCAAATTTAAGATTTGTGTTTGCTGGGGGACATGAAACCTACAGAAAAGGATATTAAAAATTTGATTTGAAATTTTTTATTAAAATATTAAGGGATTATCAGAGGATAAAAAGGTATGAACTAAAACAGCAGTTTGGTTGTTTTATTAGCACAAAGCATATTTAAACTTGCCTTTTGTTTTTTTTAGTATGTGTAATAAGTGACATTATGAATGGCCTTCTTGAACTCGTTCTCTGTTCTTCCTGCTAACACGTCAAACTGCTGTAAAAAAAAAATAAAAAATTGCCTATTATGAGGTCTGAGTACAGGATAAGAGTCTTATTAATAAGTCTGCAGTCTACTCACGGTGAATAAGCTCATTCTTCCCAGATAACTATAGAACCAAGAGTGAGAGCTTTTGATTAATGCGTTCCATTAAGTATTCTTGGCATGTCTTTAAATACAAGTAGGGGAACAAAAAAAGAAAAAAAAACTGGCTTTCCCAAATACTCTTTCTGTGCTGGACTTGTCTAAGAGGAGAAAGACAAGGCAGCATTAAAGTCTGAATTTTTTCCTTTTCAACTCATATATTATTCAGACCATCACTGTCACCAGCAGAGTTATCAGAGCGAACTTTGTGCACAACCTGAAGTTGTGGTTCCTCGAAAAAAAAGTAAACCAGGGCAAACAATTTGCGATAAAATATAATTTTGAGTTTACAACCAAATAAAACATATTTACACAAGTACAGTCAAACATTTACAAAGGGAACATTACTGAATTTGTAAACATAAGAACTTATTTCCCTTTTTACATGTTAAATAACATCTGCTGTCGGGGGATCCAGTCGCGAGTAGCCACGATGCTCCTGGGCAACATTACCGGACAGTCTCTGGCCCATCTGCGCTCGAGGAGTGTTGGGGAGCGAAGGGCTGCGCCACTGCCCAACCAGACCCAGATGCGTGCTTATCTGAGATGATCGAAGGCTCCTCATGTGGCCTCTTGCGCGAGATTCATAGAACTCAAAAGATTTCTTTTTATACCTGTAAAAAAAAGGCAGGGTTTTATGATACCATTTACTGATTCTTTTCATATTTTGTCACCAACAAATGTGTTTTATCTGGACTTGATGGAATAGAACAACAAAAACCTGTGAAACATTTAACTTGAAAGAAGATGATGGATATGACCCTTATGTTCCTAATCAATACTTTATACACATCCCCACAGCATAATTCCGCCTCTACCATACATGCAAAAATAAATACAGAAAGATTTGTAATACCTGAATAAATTGTGAATGTATTAAAGGGCTTACAAATGCTCTCCTTGGCTTCACCTTCCTCATACCTGATTGAAAATAGTCAGTTTAGCTATTTTTTTTATGTTTATGCTGCTGTAGGTTTAGTTCGCTGGAGTACATAGGGACCACTTTTTACCATTCTGCTTCATTCCACCTCTGTTCTCCCATTTTGCAGTAATTGTTAGCTCCACCCTTAATTTAATGTTCTCGCTGCTTTTTCTTGTCTTACTAATGCCATCTGGTCTGCTCCTGTTTGGCCGTGTAGTCCCGTTTCTTTTACTGTGTGACTAACTATAATTGTTCATATGGCATGAGATCTGGCTCAGAGCTCGTCTGCCTGACTGTCTTTCCTGGACAGGGCCAACCGTGGAGCTCATTAACAGTTACCTCTTGTATATCTACTTCTATGTCCTTGAACCCCAGACAGGCTTGGCAGAAGGCCGCTCACACTGAGCCAGGTTTTGCTGGAGATTTCTTTCTGTAAAAAAAGAGTTTTTCCTCTCCAATGTTGCTGCATGCATGCTTGGTTTGAAGGATTTCTGAAGAGTCAATGACAAAAAGCATGCGAAAATTGTCTCTTGGAGGAGCATCTTGTGCAAATCAGTGACATGTTGCAATCAGCTGGTTTTGCATCATAAAACAATGTAACCAATCTGACTGTATTATCTCTGTAAAGTGCCTTTAGATGATGTGTTGTGAAATGGCACAATATAAACAAACTGAAATGAATTGCTATAAAACATAAAAGAGTAGAGCTGTGACTCACATCCTTAGTAGCAAAGAAGACAGAACCACCGAAAGGGATGAGGCAGCCATGGCAGCTGAGCCCATCCAAGGCTGCAGGATGAGACCAGCCGGCATGAACACACCTGAACGCAAGAGGAGGCCGTTGGACACGTTTATTGCAGTTCTACTCATTTCGCTCCAGGACACAAACTCTAACAGGCTCAATTCTCACCTGCAGCGACTGGAATACCTAGAAGGTTATAGATGAGCGCAAAGACAAAATTAATCCTGATCCTGCGCACTGTCTTCTTGGAGAGCTCGATGCTGGCCACCACGTCCAGCAGGTCATTCTGCAGTGTGAGAAACATCCAGTTGAGACTTTTTAAAACCAAATAAAATGTTTCTACAATGACAACAGCCACCTACCCGGATCAGGACGATGTCTGCCGCTTCGATGGCCACGTCTGTCCCAGTACCAATGGCAATGCCGACATCAGCGCAGGCCAAGGCAGGCGAGTCATTGACACCGTCGCCAACCATGGCCACTCGAAGGCCTCGATCCTGCAGCTCCTGAACCTTGGCCACCTTATGCGATGGCAACACCTCGGCAAACACCTTCCTGATCCCCACCTGCAGCGACAACAAGCTTTAATTTCCAAACCCATGGCCTGCTGCTATCTCTTGATCAAAGTTCTACCTGTGCTGCTATGGCTTTGGCTGTTCGCCTATTATCTCCAGTTATCATGGCCACCTCAATGCCAATACTGTTCAAGGTGTGCACCGCTAATGCAGATTCAGCTTTCACAGTGTCTGCAATTGCTAGCATGGCACATAAAACACCTGGAAAAAGCGCCAATATTATCCATTTGATGCCAAAAAAGAAACAAAATAGCTTGTTGGTATGGTCCGTACCATCTATGGCCACCAGTATGGCAGACTGCCCTTTGGTTTCATGGCTCGACATGGCGGCATCAACATCTGCTTTGATGTGGTGGCCATTCCTCCTCATCCATTCCCTGTTTCCAATCAGGACGGAGTAAGATGCTTCCTCAGCTAGAAAAAAAGGGACAGAAATAGGAAATTTAAACAAAAATAAGATGAAAGGAAACAGGGGTGTGGAAAAATGCCAAGTCTGCTAAATAAAACACCAGTAATGGCCTTAGAGAAGCTATTTCTGTGGCTTATCAATCTGGAAAGTGGTTGTAAGACCATTTTCAAGCAACTAATGGTCTAATGGTCCCCATCCTAACCAAGTTATCCTGATGACCCGAAAATGACTACAAAACATACAAAGCATGGTGCAAATTTTAGAGGCTCATTAATGGAGAAAAACAGGCAAGTCTTTTTGAGCATTCCAGTTTGTTTGAAAAAAAAAAATAAGAGTTCAGAAGGTTTTCCTTTGCTTGTATGATACTGACTGAAGAGGTGGTTTGATTTTTTAAAACTTGGGTAATAAAAAATATAGTGTAAAGGTTTCAGGGATAGCCAACATAATGAAAAAAGGTAGTTGTCTTTCAGAATCACACAGACTTGCCTAAACAAGAGGGCTCCTCGTTTGATAAAAGGTTGCTCTCCTCTTTCGTTACCCCTGGTAGAAGGAAAAGTTCATTGCTCTGCTGTAGCAGATGTTCCACATTGGACACCCGGCAGCTGATCCCGCATCCAGGAACTGCCTGGAAATCCTGACAGTATCCCAGAACATCCGAGCCCAGTTCCTGTTGAATACACGCTTGTTTTATTTCAATTAAGTCAGTCTTGTCAGTGGTCATAAATTTGCAGGCCTCTTACATCTTTGCAGTATTTAGCTACTGCCATGCCGAGTGGATGCTCACTGCTTGCTTCTGCTGTGCCGACCAGCGCCAGGATCTTTCTCAGAGGCATCCGGGCCATTTCCCAAAGCACCAGCACGCGAGTGACCTTCGGAATCCCGTTTGTTATCGTACCCGTCTTATCAAACATCACTACATTGATCTAAAGAAAAGAGGAAACTCAGAAGGACGGTTTTCTAGGCAGAGAAAGCTTGTTCCCAAAATCTTAATTTATTACCTTGTGTGCCATCTCCAGTGGCTCCCCTCCTTTGATGAGGATCCCATTCTGCGCCCCAACTCCTGTTCCAACCATAACGGCTGTTGGCGTGGCCAACCCCAGGGAGCAGGGACAAGCAATGGATAGAACGGTGATGGATGCCTGGAAGGCGAAGCGGACAATGACTTCCGCCTTGGAGATGTTCTGGTTGTAACCCTGTGTGGAGGCTGAGAGTAAGAGCTCTGCAAGATTTACTTGTCTATAGGCAAGGAAAGTGATCGTAAACAAACGTACTGGAAAGTGCTCCTTCACAATGTCAAAATTGACAAACCCTATGGCCATCCAGGCCACCAGTGTTATAAGGGATGCAATAATAATGAAGGGCACGAAGTAGCCGCTCATTTTGTCAGCAAATTGTTGGATTGGTGCCTGCAGGAAAACAAGTGGAAACACTCAAAACAAACAGGGCTTGTGGATTTATTAATCGCTTGACTGTACAATTTAATGTACCTTCGATGTCTGGGCCTCTTCCACTAGTTTTACTATCTGGGAGAGTGTAGTTTCAGCACCGACGTGAGTGGCCTCCACCAGAAGGGCACCATGACCATTGATGGAGCCTGCCATCACCAAGCTGCCTGGCCTCTTGGTGACAGGCATGGGCTCACCTGACAAAAAAAAATGATGTTGTAATAATGTGGCAAAAACTCTAACTGGCATCTACAGCTGTTTTCTTTTTACCTGTAATTAAGGACTCATCCGCCATAGAGCTCCCCTCAATCACTTTTCCGTCAATAGGAAACTTTCCTCCAGGGACGACTTTCACAACGTCGCCTCGCTGGACCAACTCCACCTCTATCTGATCCTCGCTAAACAAATACATAATTGAAAGTTATCCAGCTCAGTTATCACCCTGCTCTGTTTAATTCTTTAGGGCTTTACCTGACAATGGAGTGATCGGTTCCTAAAGTGACCACAGTGGCATCAGTGGCTTGTAGTGACATTAATTTGACCAAAGCTTCGGAGGTTTTACTCTGAAAATGTTATATGAAAGTTGACTCAATGCAGAACAGGTTCCTGTGATGCAAAAATGATCAAATTGCACAAAAACTAAGAATAAACTTTTTTCTACCTTAGCAATGTGCTCGAGCCATCGTCCAAGAGCGATGAACACAAAGAGCATAGGTGGAGTGTCAAAGAAAGTCATGGGACTCTTGGCGGCTCGTTCTGCCATGGCCACGGCAAGGACCACACAGGAATAGATGTAGGCGATGGAGGTGGCCAAAACAATCAGCACGTCCATATTTGCTGTGCGGTGTTTCAAAGAACGATATGCCTGGATGTAGAAGTATCGACCTCCGAATATCTAAGCAAAGAAACCCCAAAGTTTTGCAGTTGATTACAGCGGTAGAGCAACAGCCGAAGGTATAGAGATAACCTTAAATCCAGAAATGTTTTTTTCCTTGTACCTGCACAGGTGTACATAGTAGGAAAAATGCCAGATTGAGGAGAGAAAGACCTGGCAGAATGTTCTGCTCCTCTGGCATGGCGCCACCATGGTCTTTGTGCTGGATGTCCATGATCATCATGTAGATCATAAGGCCCATGACAGGTAGGCCAAAGACCAGGCTGAGAAGAAAGGAGTTTTTCCACCTAGAGAGAAAAAAAAGGCACAAATGGGGTGCTATTCCTTTACTTCATACGACAGATTTCAAACGTCCTAATCATAGGTCAAGTAAATGTCACTGGGCACAGAGGTGTAGCAAGGGCAAAGTCCACATTCAATTTATGTCCTGTCTGCCACCATCAAAAGATTGTGTCCCGTCCCACTGTCTCTCAGACCCATCTCCTGTCAGCTAACTTTTAAATAAATGCCACTAGTGCACATTTTTTTAAAATCGGAAGATGAGAAACACCCAAGACAAGAATTGAACCCAAGGTCTGCAATAGATACCCACTGACGGATTTCCTCTGAGTGATCCAGGTTGTTTTTGAAACCAGTTTTCTCCAGACTTGTCTCGAATCCAAGGCTCTGCAATCCCAAACACAAGATGGGGTTACTTTTGAAAGCAATGGTGAGCACTAAACCAACACCTTAAAAAGGAAGTACCTGAATTATCCTGACAATATCACGAGCTCCAAGGACCTCTGGGTCAAACTGTATTTGAGCTTTTTTGGTGGCCAGGGCCACTGAAGCTGAGTGGATGCCTTTGGTCGAGGTGAGTTTGGATTCGATTTTGTGCACGCATGACGCACAAGTCATTCCCGTAATCTGCAGATCAAGTTTCCCTTGTGTCACTGCGTTGTCTTCCAACAATTCAGCACCGAAGCCTAAATCCTCTATTAACTGAGACACCCCAGCTGGATCAAGGAGGTTTGGGTCGTACTTCACCTCCGCTTTCCCAGCCATCAGAGACACGAGGACAGAGATGATTCCTGCAAAAAAAAAAAAAACGTGAAGTACAATCATGCTGGTGTCAGAAAGGCAGTTTAAGAAGAGGGAATGCTCAAACTCACCCTTGTGTTTGAGCATGTTTTTCTCAATGTTAGCCACGCAGGAGGCACAGGTCATTCCCGCCACACGGATGAAGCATTTCTGTGCTTTGATTTCAGGGGAGTAAGGGCAGCAGCTTGTACTGGTTACCTGAGATTCAGCACCTTTGCTTGTTTCCGTCTTGCTGGATGAGCATAGGCTTCCAAAGTCTTGTTTTTCTTGAATATGAGGAGGCTCTGATATAGAAACAGATATAGGATTTTTGATGCATAAAACAACATTAACTACCAAATGAGTAAATAATTTATTTAGTTATCAATAAAAGTGTTAATAATGACCTCTGTCCCTCTATTTAACCTTATCATACTTCCTTTTATTCATTATTCCCCAGAACTGTCTTCCTGTTTTGCCTCAGAACTCATTTTGTTTTGAGGAGAACCTCACTCCATGGTAGATAACATATCTTACCTTTTAGTGATGCGTCAAAGCCCATTTCTTCTATAGCTGCCCTAACATGCTCTGCATCGGTCAGACTGGGGTCAAAGCTTATTGTTCCCTTATCTTCCTTCAAAGACACTATTACAGACTTGACTCCGACCATTTGACAGATCCTGCCCTCTATGGACTGCACACAGGACCTACAAGTCATCCCTCCAATCCAGACATTAACAATATGAATGGGTCCATTCAAGTCACTCTGCCAGCAGCTTAGGTCTCCATCAAACGACTCCTCAGGGAAGAGAGTAGCATCAAACCCCATATCTTCGATCTTATCTCTTAGATCATGTTGCGTAACCAGGAGAGGCTGATATACAATCAGGGCAACTCCATCCTGAAGAGACACCTGGATGTAGGAGACCCCTTGCATCTCTCCAACTTGTCCCTCAATGGCCTGGACGCAGGACTGGCAGCGCATCCCGTCCACTTTGATCCGTATAGCTGCTTCAACTCTACATCCCAGAGTCTGTAGCTGTAGAGAAATCTCTTTGGTAGTGGTAAATGAGGCATCGTACTCCACCTGGAGTAAACTATCCGCCACAGTCCAGATGATGGCAGAGACTCCCTTAAGGTGGCTGAGTGTGGATTCCACATCTTGTGGTCCACAGGTGAGTCCCAAAAGTTTGAAACTTGCTCTGGAGATAGGTTTGGTTGATAGGAGTTCACTCTGGCTGCCATATTCATATGCCAGGTTATCAAAGCCTGTTTGGTCGACAGCAGGGCCATTCCTCTGAAAAGGAGACAGCAAGGTGCATTAGTTCCTACTTATTTATTTCTGAAAACTAATTGAAATTCATTAACGAGGACACAAAGGCTAAGTTTGCATATGTTAAGGTTAATTACAACATCCATCGCAATAATTTAATCAGAGAAATCCTTTTGTTTTGATTAAACACTATCAAACCTCAAATTTACATTTTATGAACAATGAACAATACATTTAAATACCTTCTTTTGACAGGCCTGCTTAAGCTTTTAGTTTGATTTAGCTTAATTTAGTTTACTTTAATTTAAACTAGCTTTCAGGAGATTTTTTTCTTATCAAAATGTACCCATCATAGTTATTTTAATCTATTGTAGTTTCCCGAAACTTAAGTTAGCCAATTTCTCTAACCTTAGTTTTGTTTCAGTTGTGTAGATTATAATAGTTGTGTGAATGCTGTAAGCATTAGAGTGTTTATGTATGTGCTGCATTTCTAAACAGTTCTTAACAGGTTTTTATTTCCTAATTAATAATCAGCCATGATTCTGCCATTTGTTTCACCCCGTTTCCTCTGTTTTGAAGAAGGCCATTAAGCTTTTCTTTCTGCTCATTCCCAATACTTTAGCAAAGTTTTTACTTCCAACTTCAGCTTATTTCTGGATTAATTTTATTACCATATATTACATGACTTCAACTTTGAAACACTTTAATCAAGCTTCTTATGTAGCACTAATCTGATCATTCAATATAACATTCTTCAACACTTTAGTCCTTATCCTTAAACGACTCCTTTTTTTCTGACACAAGATAAAATTCAGGTTTTTCTTGCCATTGTTTTTGCCATTTCTACTAATTTATTAGATTTCAGCCTATGTTGGGATCTTATACTTGATTCTGCTCTCTTTCTGGACATGCATTACACTTTTAGATTTGCCGTTATGTCATGTTTCTGCTGTTGGCTTCCATTATTTTTAGCAAAGTAATTAAGCGTTTTTGTTTTCTGCCATTTCATACCATTTAAACAGTTTTTGCTTTAAATTTCAGCTTGTTTCTGCTATTTCACCTATACAGCTTACAGTTTAGCATACAGCGTTCACACTGCATTTTCGCAGGAAATGCAACTTTTTCTAGTTTATCTTAGTTTATCCTACTTAAACATTTAAACAACTCATTTTATTCTGTGATTTTTTTTTTGCTAATACATAGTATACATGGATGTAATTTATGTTTGTATGTAGTCCTGGATATTATTTTAAGAATTTCCTGCATATTTGTCTCAGTCCTGCTTTCATGTCTAAAACCTGTGTGACACCCTCCCTGTGTTTTATGAGAGTATTATATCTGTCTGTAAGTAATATACAATAATTTTATGAAAACAAAGCAGAAAATGAAGCACAATGAATATTTCTTATGACTTGGGTTCTTATGTGATGGAACAACATAAACTATGTTGCTATTTTGGAACTGGGAGAAATATCTGACAAAGTAAAATCTGAGAATAGTGCCAGATTTACTTTTATTTCCTGAGAAAAGAATCCAGTGCAAAAAATATCTTAGAAGAAAAAAATAATATTATGTATTATTTACTGCCGTATAAACATGAAGGACGTGTTGTTACAGGTTTTTTCCCTTCACTTACTATCAATTGAGTGTATTTTTTAATTATTATAAAAAAAATAGTTTCAAGTATAATGGACCAGAAATATAACATGTCTGGTAAAATGCAGCCATCAGCACTATGTAAAATTGTCTTTTCTAGTACAGCAGTGCTAGTTTGGGGGATAATAGCCTCGTGATCAGCCCGACCCATAAGCCTGATGGCGTGACTCTGCTTAGACTGAAAGGAAAAGTCAACCCCTATTATGAGTCCCAGGTATGGAGTTCCAGGATGGCCTCATGTAGCTGTGGTTTGGATTAACTTTTTTTATTTAATTTTTTTCCTGAGCAACGCTTTCACCATGATAAGCTTTGCTTTTTATTTGAAGAATATGTTTTATGGGGATTTTAATCCATGTGAATTCCCTAAATAATGAACTATGGTAGAATTAATGGTAGTTTTAGTATAATTCATATTCTAATTCCAATCAGAATTCAAGTTGAGGAATCAAAAAAAAAAATATATATATATATATAATTCATTTCTTTAAAAGGACAAAGAGATTTTATTTTATATGTCTCTCTTTTTTATTTCTGTTGGTTCTGTTAACACTGATTGAATTATATTCTGCATTGTACAAAGAAGCTCCTGGGTTTTAATTGAAGCCATGTTTTTTTTTTTTTTTTTTTTTTTTTACACAAAGTATGAATCTTCTCTTTGGGTGTCTCTTTCTGGGTACTCTGCCTTCCTCCCACAGTCCATTAACATTCCTGTAAGGTTAGTCGATTCCTCTGCATAGGCTTGTAAGTGTGAATGTGTGTGTATGATTTGCCAAAAACAAAAAACTTAAACAAAATCCCTCTTTTTAATATAGAAGCAGATATATAATATCTGCCATTTAGGCAGAAGTGGGAAAAGTTGTATCCTTAGTCCCAGGAAAACATCACTAATGGATAATCAGTGTACTGCAAACACAACAATAATCATTCAATTCAGTTTATTTATATAGAGTCAATCCACATGTCATCTCAAGACACTTT